GCCTGTCTGTCGTCTGTTTGTAAACAATTTTTCAAAACGCTACTCCTGCTACAGTTTTGGTCTGATTTTAATATAACTTGGCACACAAGTAGACCACACAAAGATACATAAAATAGTGCATCAGATTTTGATTTCGATGAACGGTGTTGCCATGGTTACTAAAATTAGAATTTTCTGTGAAATTCCTTCAAAATGCTACTCCTCCTACAGTTATGATCTGATTTCAATATAACTTGGCATACAAGTAGACTACACAAAGATACATAAAATAATGCATCGGTTTTTGATTTCGATGAACGGTGTTGACATGGTTACTAAAAATAGAATTTTCTATGAAATTCATTTAAAACGCTACTCCTCCTACAATTTTGATCTGATTTCATTATAACTTGGCACACAAGTAGACTACACAGATACATAAAATAGTGCATCGGATTTTGATTTTGATGAACAGTGTTGCCATGGTTACTAAAAATAGAATTTTCTGTGAAATTCCTTTAAAACGCTACTCCTCCTACAATTTTGATCTGATTTCATTATAACTTGGCACACAAGTAGACTACACAAAGATACATTAAATAGTGCATCGGATTTTGATTTCAATGAACGGTGTTGCCATGGTTACTAAAAATAGAATTTTCTGTGGAAATTCCTTTAAAATGCTACTCCTCCTACAGTTATGATCTGATTTCAATATAACTTGGCGTACAAGTAGACTACACAAAGATACATAAAATAGTGCATCGGTTTTTGATTTCGATGAACGGTGTTGACATGGTTACTAAAAATAGAATTTTCTGTGAAATTCATTTAAAACGCTACTCCTCCTACAATTTTGATCTGATTTCATTATAACTTGGCACACAAGTAGACTACACAAAGATACATTAAATAGTGCATCGGATTTTGATTTCAATGAACGGTGTTGCCATGGTTACTAAAAATAGAATTTTCTGTGGAAATTCCTTTAAAACGCTACTCCTCCTACAGTTTTGGTCTGATTTCAATATAACTTGGCACACAAGTAGTCTACATTAAGATACATAGAATAGCGCATCGGATTTTGATTTCGATGAACGGTGTTGCCATGGTTACTAAAAATAGAATTTCCTGTGAAATTTCTTTGAAACGCTACTCCTCCTACAATTTTGGTCTGATTTCAATATAACTTGGCACACAAGTAGACTACACTAAGATATATAAAATATTGCATCAGTTTTTGATTTTGATGAACAGTGTTGCCATTGTTACTAAAAATAGAAATTTGTGAAATTCCTTTAAAACTACTCCTTCTTCAGTTTTGGTCTGATGGCAATGGCTTCTTTCTCATCCTTTATTATAAGTGCAAACTGGTAGAGCTACAGTCTTGACAGAGACTTCTGGTTGGATCATACATTCACTCTTTGCTTCGAAAACAGCTCAGGTGGATTGAAAATAAATTTCGATCTGCAATTTCAATCCGATGTTTTCCCCACGTCCGCGTCGAATTGTAACCGCCCATTTCATTGTCTATCACTGAATGTTTTGATTGTAACAGATCTATAGAAATGACGTAAGCTGTACAAGTGTATTATGTAGCGGACTCTTTATTACGAGATATATTTTTAGTGGTTTTTCTCTATATAACTGAATTGAAATTTTATATATACCACAGTAAAATAATTAATTAAAAAAAAAACTTTTTGCTGATGTCATCCAGTGTTTACTTATAAAAGAAAATTCATATTCAGCTAACATTTTTTCCGGTACCACTGAATTAATTTAAGTCAACTAGGTTCAAATAATAAGCCTCATTAGATTTAAAGCAGGTAAATTTATGAAAATGAATATCTACACTCAATTTTTTTCTTGGGGGGTGGGTTATTGGAAAGAAATTAAAAACATAATTTAGAGTTTTGACAAAACCTAGAACCCGTTGACCTTTTTATTGCAAGTTTTTAAATTTAAAGAATATCTAAAATCAATACGGTCTCAACTTTGTGTTTTATACTTCTGTTTTTAGAATGAAATTCGGCACTTTGAAGCCAAACTCGGAAAGAAGCAGAAACAGAATTCGATGAGCTGATATAGAATTAGACAGGAAAAACATGTAAATAATACATTTAGTAAAAACGTTAACTTTTTAAAATAAAATAATAAACCATTGAGATTTCTTGGAATTTAATTGATTCCAATAAACATGCTTTGCATTCATCATTAGCTCAACTAGAAATGGTTCCAAGTATATGAAGGCAAAGCTGTATAATATTATTACATTTTAATTTTATCACTTTTTCAGATTATGAGAATACATTATTAACAGTACAGACCATTGATGTGGATAGTGTTACCGGAGACTCAGTGATCCAGAAAATAGATCCATAAATTGTACAGTGTATTCATGAAAGTGGATTAAATAAAAAATTTCAATCCAAAAGTAACATTCTTTGTTTGTCTGTTAACATTTTTTTATTGATGTAAATCTAATAACTATCAATTTTTAGCATGCAGATTCATAATTAGATAGTAGAAGAATCTTAAACATATCTTTATATTCTGCATTTTGAAGTATCATAATTAAAACAAGGTCAATATTAAATGATCAAGCAATTAATTTCAAAACTGACAAAATGTTTTTGTGAGAAAAAAAGAGGGCTAGTTTAAAGTCAGACGACACGTTCCTCAAATTTATGTTTTGTATCTCTAGATATTATATATAAAAAGTATTCATATTTGTCATTCTCTTCTGATATCTACATTGTTTTCAAAATGTTTTTAAATATAAGTACAACAAAAATTTCGATATATGCCATTCAAAAGATTGCCCATTAGGGTTATTATGAAATATCTTTTAGGGTCAGTTCAAGTTTAGACATTCATATATATATATAGCCCTTCCAGATTTTCATCTTAGGCACCAGTAGCTACTGAGGTCTTAGCTCTTGACAGACATGGTATCGTTTTTGAAAGTGCATGGTGTGGGGCAGGCATAAAAAACTGCAAGAAAAAAGTGGGGAAATTCTCCAAACTCGGGGGGTGGGGGGTTAAACATCAGGTTATGTTGAGAAAAAAGCTACCCAACCCAATGTCATGTAGCCTCATTGATATGGTTTTACTTTAAAATTATTTGAGCTGTCATAGTGACTCTCTTTCATAAACTAGAATTATTGTGAGCAAGCTCATAAAATGATACCCACCCTCCTGCTATTGCATTAAATGTTTTTTATTACAAAAAAGGTCCAAATATTAATTTAAAACCTTTTCAAAATTTTGCTAGTGCAGATATACATACCGAAATGACTATGACATATACACAAGTCATAGGTAATAAAACCGTTGTGTTGAGCACAAACTTCCAATTTCTCTTCATTCGAAGAACTCATATAGTACACTTTTACTGCAGTGACCTTGAAAAAGCTATGTCCTTGAGTCAAGGTCAAACATGTCCAAATGAACTTTGGTCAAGGTCATGACAAACCTACAGCTCAAAAATAATCCCCGAGATGAAACTTCAAGTCTTTTCATTAGAATGTTACAGAATGGGCAAAGATTGCACTATTCTTCTACCAATGACCTTGAACTTGTTCAAATGACCTTGGGTCAAGTCTTTGACACATCTCTAGATCATAAGCAATCTTAATATCAAGTATGAACTTTCATTGGCACTTCATTGAAATGTTATGGACAAGTTAAAATTTTACATACATATGGATGGGTGAACAAGGTGATTCCTACCCCCACCCCCACCCCCCACCCCCCACCCCCCGCCCCCTTTTTCCAAGTTTTGTTTGTGAGGAATTTAAAATTCCTTTTGAAATTGAATGTGCATATATTTATCAACAATAGTAAAATTATGAGTATGCTTTGATCAGAACCAATATGACCAATATAATGGACACTGTACATGTATTCAATTTACCCCCACCCCTTCAAAAAAGCTTATAAATGCCAGATTGTCACATATTTTAACCATTTGTAGCTTTTTTCTGCTAAAGTTGCCTGCAAATTTTATTGTATAGATATGACATATAGTTAACCCCTAACAAGTCACACCATTCATTTTTCCAGCAGTGGTTGTAGATTTTGTGTATATAGTGATAAACATATGTAATTTTTTCAAAATTAACAAGCATTGACGCCATGTTCTTTTACCGTTGTCATGGCAACAATATCACTACAGAAATTTTGTATTTCCTATTTTGGAGAATAAAGTAATTCCATCTTTCAACAAATAAAGTAACCAAAATACCTTATCTTATCAAGTTCAGAAAGCATATTCATAGAAAAATGTTTAAAAATCATTGATTTTCACAAGGATTTATGAACCCGTTGCTAAGGAAATGAATTTCCTTGGATACCAGTCCCTTCATACGTTAAAAAAAATTGTGTTTTAGTAGGTAGGACAAAGTCTTTTATATACCAAAAGCTTTTGAAAAAATAAAATTTTGACTTTCCATTCAATGCTCGATGCTTGCTGATTTTGACTCTTAAACATTAATCTTGGTGAATTTTCAAAAACATGTTATAACACATAACAATTACTAGTAATAAATCATTACGACATTGGAGAAGCAATGCAACTCTGAACAATGCAAAGGGAGTGAAACTGGCAGATTTATATATGAGGCTTATAAGCCTGTAAGGACAAACAATATATGAAATTCCATCGACTGCAGCTGCTAATTATATTTTTCAATTAGACCCATTATTCTGATGCAAAATAAGAACGGTATTTCTTTTTTATAAGATTCGATGCGCTTTCAAACCTCCTTTTGCTCTTGTTATGTGGTGGGAATGTTCTCTCTCTTCTCCTTTATGATATCTTAATTCTATTATAAAGGTATGAAAATGCATAGATTCAAAACATAGTTCATTTTAACTGAAAGTCGATTCGTTCAAACTTCATTGCATCAATTGGTGAATATACACGCATCTTGTACGAAGACATTTGGGTCAAGACTGAAAAACGAATTTGTTCCCAACATTTCTGTTATATTTTAACAAAGACATATATGTATGTATGCATTTGCAATAAAGTTTTATTTCAGTAGCAAATAATATTTTTTTTAATAAACTCTGTTTAATTAATAGGTCACTACTGTTCTCTATTGATCATTCGTAACTCTTCTGACGACATTTGGCGATGACGCCTTCTAATTTCAGGTCGGACTCGTCATTACACTGGATTTCTGTGTGGACACCAGTCATCTTTCCTCTAAGCGCCTTGGCACTGCTGGCATACAGCATCTTCTGTTTAATGGGAAGAGTATCAGATACCCTGGAAAATTATTGCACAATAAAATTAAATTCAAAAGTAATCTACTAAGATTTTGCATTAAAAATCACCGGCGTAGTTAGATCTACTTATGCGCATGCGTGGAACAAGTGAAAAGGAATGCCAGTAGCCTCGATCAGAAACTTAAGTTCTCTCTATCTAGGTCGTACGTGTAAGCGAAACGCACCTAGCTAGAAATAATCTTGGATTCCCGAATTAATCCAATGTAGTTGTGTCAAATAAAGAAAAACTTTCATTTTGCAATCTTCATACTTTTTTTTTATTGCTATTAGTTTTGACATGGACTCCATATTTTTTATTCTACTGTGTTTAGACTACCATCCCCTTTGGGGGGGGGTGCAAAATTGCAAAATTTATATCATATAAGATGTTAACATTAACTCACCATGTGAAGAAAACTACTTTGTCCAACTCGCGGGTGTCAACATTGTAGTGAACATCGAACACGCCATACCGACCTTCACCGTTAGCGGCAGCTTGAATGAGTTTACCACAAAATTCGTCATACGCCTCTTCCGCTACAAAATAAATATGTATTGCTAGAAATGCTATATTTCACTATTCTTAAATGGTACAATGCTCAGTTGAAACTGTTACGTTTAAAATTGAGATGATTCAATAAATCTTTAGCTCCTATTATTTGTATGACCTCACACATGCAATTACACGAGAATAATGATTATACATTTCTCACTGATTTACATATCCCCCGAAAATTTATGGTTATTTTAACGTTTTTCACACAAGAAATAGAGGAACCTTACCGGGCATTTTGTAAGATAACTACCAGAGGGTTTGTTCCCTCAATATAATTCTTTTGGAAGTGTTTTGCCAACATTAAAATTTTTTGTGTACTTATTTTTCAATACATTTTGTAAATAATTTAGAAATTGGAAGATAATGAATTTTTTTTTATATATAATTAAGAAATAAAAAACAGATATTTGAGTATCTGAGACAAATTTGTAAATATTTACAGTATAGAAAAATCCCTCTTTAATTTCTCAGACATATTGTGACAAAATGCTCTCGGAGGATTTTTATTATACAGTTTGAAACCTTGAGGGGAGTCAGGGAGAGGAAAGGGTTAAAAGGTGATGGGAAGGTTCATAATACATGGGCTCACGGCGGTGGTCAATCGGTCAACGAGGGATGCTTACTCGTCCTCGGCATCTGATACCACCTCTGGAATTTTTAGGACGACCAGGAGACCGTGTTTTATTACCTCTCCACAGATTTGTATGGTTTATATATTATTTTAGATCGACCACGTTATCTTCATAATGTTCGTTATCTTCACCTTTCAGTGGCGGATCCAGAAATCTTGAAAAAAAGGGGGGGGGCTAGTTTGGGGTCAGGATAGGGGTCCACAGCCACACCACAAAAAAAAAACACTGGCTTATCAAATTTTGTGTATTTTCTGACACGAAGGGTGGGGGTGGGCACCCCTCTAAATCCACCAGTGCCTTTTTATTTCTCTCCACAATAAGCAATTTTTTTTTGTTTAACATGTAAAACGGACGTTTTATTCTCACCGCTAGCTTCATCTCTTGGTTTGGTGCTGTCCACCACGATTTCACTGAAATCTTTGTTCAGTTTGTAGATAATGTACCGGTATTTCTTCTTCGATCCCTGGAGATCTTGGTAAGTCTCAAGACATTCGTCTGAAAGTGCCACTCCGGAAGCCTGAAAAGTACAGTAAAACTCGTTTAGTACGAACACGGATATTGCGAATTCACGGATATAGCGAAGTTTTCTTGGGTCTCCAGCTAAATATATTTAACGAATTCTTTATACGGATATTATATAACGAATTACGGATAAAAATAAGGGAGTATTTCCATAGGTCCCAGTGACTTAGTTAAAACCGAATTTACTGTATTATTGTTTTCGGTGTTTTTGGTATAGCCATTTTCTTTTCTTTTTTTACAGCAAGGATGTACAAGCAGTTTTGTTTTAGATGTAAAGAAGAAAAACAATGTTTTATCTGAGAACTGATAACTGTTTGGCATTAACTTAAGATACATCATGTCATCAAAATAGAATATTCTGAAAATTAACTATTGGACATACTAGTATCATTCTGTAGATGTTCCACATAAAAATCTACACAAACTTATCTGTTGCTCTGTCAACACAAACATTACTAAACATTTTTTAAAACAGTATTTTGGCAAATTATAATATTCAGAGGAATAATTAGTGTAAAACATCGAAAATCCTCAAATAGGGATGTCTGTAAAAGATATCCCTCTTTGAACTGAACACCGAAAGAGGGATAGTTGTATAAATATGTCACGTATACATGTTAAAATGTAATTCCAACGGTTTGCTTCTTACTTATTGATAATCTTCAAATTACCATCTGATAGACAACTGACAGGTTTATTGTCCATTTCTAAAAACTTCATTCATTTAATTATTTTGTATTCAATCTAAAATACACTTATAGCATGCATGTCTTGAATCTTCATAGGAGTATGCTATGACTGTAAACCACTGCACATTCTTAAACTTTTTTTGGTTTGGTCTTTATTGTTAAAAATGCGACAATCGTAAAATATATTTATAAACGATAATGCCCCCTACTTTATATGAGTTGTTTAAAACGTGTATTTTTATGTAACATCAGATTTCAAAATACCATCAAGAATTTAGAAATTTTTAATAAACAAAGCATTTGCAAGTGTGTGACCTATTTGAAAGAATTTCCGAGAATTTCTTTCTAACAGGAATTCTATTTTTATATGCTTTCAGTTCATCAGAACTACATGGTACATAGTGTCGTTTCTTTATTATTTAAACCAAGTCCCTTGAAAATATGGTTGGTATAGAGTAGATTCTCAAATGTTTAAAGAAGTTCCCTGGGTGTACGTTGGGGGCAGCAACTCACTCACTCACTCATTCGTCCTTAGACAGCAATAGGGGATCAAAATATATTGGAAGATTGCCACAAACTCGCAATTTAAATGTAATTTGTACAGATATTTGTCCTTACTTTGGAGAAGGGTGAGGCCACAATACGAAAAAATAGAAATTCTCCAAAACTTCTCTTCCTAAAGTCATCAATATCATGATGAATATATTTATGTGGAAACAAACCTTTGGTAGTGAAGATTCGTTATTTGTTCAAATCAAGACGCTTAGTTTTAATAATAGGGTAGGCCACAAAGGGTGATCAAATATTTCCCTAGGTATGCAAGAATATTGGGGAAGATGTGATGAAGAAAAGTAGGACAAACTTATATGTTACTCAAGAAGAGCGTTGTGGCTTTTTTTTTAAAGTATACGAAATCTAGTGGGTTTTTTTTTCAAATTTGTTTCATGTGTCCTTGGATATCCACGATTAAAGACGAGATCACCTGTTGGTATCCGAAAATGATGTTATATAAGGTTTCATAATAACAGCGGCTGAAATATTGACTTTTGAATAAAATTAAGTTTGTGAACAATTTGAATGAACTTCTTGGAAATAATATTTCTAAGTACTAAATATTTCATTCTAGATCTCCTAACTATTAACAGCTTTAAATGTCCTATTTATGTTTCTTTTCTCCGAAGAAGTACATTTACATGTTTACCCCTGGTATATGATATTCAATCTGTCCTTTTCATTCGACCGTAACTGCAGTCACAAATTATTGTGAAATACATTTCATTTTATTTCCACTAAAAATATCTAAACTTAAAAGATATGTCTATATACAGACAAATACAGTGATTTCCATTCACGTGTAAATTGGCTCGTTTGCTCCTTTACAAACTTCCCTAGTGTCAAAACTGGTGAACTTTTGTTACCTGTAGATTTGCTTAATTAACATGTACTATAAATCCTTTCTTTTTTTTCTAAAAAAAAGTGTGACGTCAAGGATTTATGATACAAATCGTTAAACTCGGGGAATATTTTTGAAAACTTTTAAGGGAAATAAACTAAGAATATTAGCTATAGTTATAAACAAGCGTCTTCATATTTGTTTGTATAAGCTATTATACTACACTGAACAAGGAAGGAGAGATAACTGATTATCGATGTTATCTTTTCTAAAAATTCTATAAAAATAGTATACAACTCATATCTCTACAAAACATGTAATGAATATTTTTGGTGCTCCCGTTTTGCTTTGAATTGAACACTAGATTGGAAACTGATTGGCAACCTTATTTGAAAAAAACCCACAAAAAGAAAACAAACAAAAACAACAGAATATTGTCCAAACTCGAAAATACTATTTCCGTCGTGTGTGTGTGTGTGTGTGGGGGGGGGGGGGTGGGGGGAGGGTCCATTATAATAGAAAGTTGAGAGATTGCCTTAGGCCTGGGGCATATATTTACGTACACTTTACGGTACCAATTATATTGTGATTATTCATACCTCAATTTTAATCTACTTTTCATTGAATTCGTTCGTTTAGTAGATTGGCAAATGAAAAGCTTTAAAAAGTTTTTTAATTTCATATTAGATCTATTGGAGTTTCAGTTAAGTTATTTTTCTATAGGGCCAATATTTTGTTTGATTATTTTTTTGTCAACTTCAGATTTTCTATGCGAGCGAAACGGTAATAGGTGCTATTTTTATTTCATTCATTCCGCATAAGCTTTTAAAAAACACAATGCCCATATATGTAGATTTTTTAATATGAAAAAAGAGTAGTATATTTTTCTTCCCCTTTTATTCAAATGTATAACTGCCGCCTTTTTACGCTTAGTATTTAGATGACGATAAAGGAAGTTCTCTTACTTCCGCAGTCATCTTTGCCCTTTTCTAATGTTTTGTCAGCAGAAAAAAAATTCACTAAGCTATATATATAAACTCAAAAATCGCAGGATCATCGTTTTTGTTTTCCTTGTATTCAACATCTAGGCTCAACTTCCGTCTATGTAAGTCTAAAAATGCTTTGCGGGCGTTTCCCCGAAAATTTTCCCCGTTTTTGAAAACAAAACAAATTAACAAAAGTTAAGATTTCAAAAGGGTTCAAACCTTAACAAACATTATACAAGCAAATATCACAAGCTTAAATTTAAAGTCACGGTATCAACATGCAAAGTACAGATGAAATTAACAAGAAATTTATCATAATATGGAGAAGTAGCCTACCATTGTATATATTCACACAGACGAGTCAATCCAAGTATCGCAGTGACTACAAACGACAAGTATAAAGTTTCCTGTCGGCTTAGGACTAATATCCGGGTACAAATAATACCTAATTTAGAAGTCGTTCTGTCGTCACAAATGAGGAAATACAGAATGAGACACAGACGTCCAGCTGTTTTATATGGCTTAGGATGAGGGGGAAATGGGGAACGTCATTTGAATTACTTCCGCTGCGAGAGAAAGAGCATAGAGCGTGTACAAATGTGTACATCAACTTACTTGGGTTTAAACGGGTCTGTAATGTACATGCACAGATAGAAGGGGGGGGGGGGAGAGAGAGAATAAACTATTTACATAAATTCATAATTTCATATACATATGTATGTGTATGTTACCATACAACTTGTTTTACATGTTTATATCGGTATAACATCTCATTTAAAGATTTATAAAACAAACCTTTCAACAAATGAAATACAACCCAAGTTCCAAGAACTCTTAAAAGCGGGACAAGCGAAATGAATACCTAAAAGAATTTTATTATCAAAAAGCCAGGTATCCGCTTTCATGCACATAGGATTTCTATTTTCTTGTTACATGTATCTACCATTTTCATCGGGTTGAACGCTCAATCGGGAAAGACTTTCAAGGTAAAAAGGCTTATAATAGTGCCCATCCTCTCATTCAACTACCACTCCTAACTTTTCGGGGTATAAACGTTTTCGAATTTTGATGTAAAATTCTATTCTGAATCAAAATTAACCTTCAAAGGGATTCTTTTTAAAAAGCCTAAAGTTTTTGAAGAGTTGCGATACGATTAATTTAGTTTCATTAATTCACGGTCCATGGGAATCAATTTCAGTTTTTTACGGGGGCACAGCCATAGTTTTTTAGTTGTGGCACTATCAACTACCAAAATTTCCTTGATAAGGCACCAGAGGAGGCACTTTCATTTGCGTCTTTCATCATATATATTATATCAATAGGTTTCATTTTCTACTAAATATACCACGTCAAGGCATAGGCGTCGGAAGCAATTTGAAAGGGGGGGGGGCTAAACCAACAAAAAAGGTAATCCCCCCAATTTTCAATGCCTATATTATGTCTATCTTTGCAAAAAAGTGGGGGGGGGGTGTTGAAGCACACCCCCCGGCCCTGACGCCTATGCAAAAGCACAAGACAAAGTATTCTATTTTCAGCTTAGTATATAACCATCACATTCTTTGTCCTTCAGTTGTAAATGGCAGTTGACCTTCTCGATTTGAATTAAACGCGATTTTTATTGCAGTACTATCATATTGGCCATTTAACTGCTGTTTACACAAATTCACCTTAAAAGTGAGGCGCTGGGTTATTTTCACTTTATTTAATTAACCATATGTGCAATCAACTGATAGGAATATACAAGTAAAAGTAGGTTCCTCTTTCTTAAGCGCTTTAATTATTTCGTTCAATTTGCATTTTAGAATGACAAGGCAAACTTCAAAATTTACGGCAATGAGCAAATTTTTTTTTTTTTTTTTTTTTTTTTAGATCAAAATCAAAGGGTCAAAATTAATGGCATCTTGTGTCTTGCGAAAGGCCTTGTCACAATAAATACGAATTGTGAAATACGAAAGCCCTAGCACCAAAAGTTAAGACCAAGGCTATTTTTAAAATGGGTCAAACTCGAATGTCAAGTTCAAAGGGGCATCGTTTTGGATATCAAAAGAAAGGTTTTGGCACAAGGAATTCGAATGTGAAATATAAAAGACCTAGAACTAACTGATCAAATGTTATGGCTTAAATTAGATTTAAGTTTTTTAATGTATCAAACTGTAAGGTCAAGGTATGTACGTCAAAAATATTTATCTTCTTCTTTCTATAAAGTGAAGGGCCGCTGCTGCGGCATTTGCTCACTTTAATTAGAGCAATATGAGCTGTATCTTCCAAAATTTTATTTTGCTGGTAAAATGTGCTATTATGATTAATTTGAATTTAATTTAAACCCTTATGACCAATAAGCCCAAAATAAAGTTTAAAAATGTTTCAGAAGAAATAATTCTGTACAACCGAACATACAGATTTATATAAGAAATCATTATTGTACAGGACGACAATAATTCAATTTTGCTTCAATCAAAGCTAATAAAAAAAATTCCATCGCGAATATGAACAACATAAGTTTATAAATGATTTATTTTTCTGTCATTAAATTAGTAAATCACAAATTTGCAATAAAAATTCCGATGTCAAACATGCAGCTCATATTGCTTTAAAAACGTGTACGTGAGGGGGACTCCACGCATCTATTTATACAATTTTAGAAACTGGTAAAAACATGTCCTGCTTCATTTACAGTGCTTAGATCCCTGACTCCTGGTCTTAAAGGACTCCAGGGAAATGGCCGTGGTGGTGTCTTCTGGCAGCTGGTTCCATATATACACGTGTATTATAAATAAGCATATTTATTTTAAAAGATCTCGCACATTTAATATACACAGGGGAAATATGAAAGCCCTAGGACCAATTGTTTTAAAAAGGGTCAAGATTAAAGTTTAGTATTAAGGCCGAACTCCGAGGTCAAGGTCAAACACTACGGAGTATATAGATGTTGGTACCTAAAGAACTGAGCAAAATCTATGTTTCCACAAATCTTCAAGTACGGTACATTGCACATAGCATAAAAATAGACCCCACCACACTGTGATCAACCTGCGTTAAACTTTCAATTCAATTCAATTTCTTTATTGATTCACCAAACATGTTGGCATACAACCATGTTACATATAAAAGACAAGTAATGAAATACATACATGCAAGTATATGGATCAGTGAAGTCAACAATGCAGAGTATAACAACTTGAAGATTAAACATAATCATTATGCAAGCAATATAGTATGAACAGTGATGAGCTAATAAATGCATTAAATAAATATATTATAATTGTGCTTTATTTTTGGAACGCAATTCAAAACATTCATATAAAAATTCACACAGCCTTCTAGAATGAACTGCATTATCAGGATTACATAATACTTTACAATGATTTTCTTTCAATATGTTATCGTTTAAATTACAGATGTTCAAAGAACAGTACTTTTTTCGCAAATCTATATATAAGGGACAGTCATATATGAAATGTATTTCACTTTCTACAACAGTTTTACAATAGTGACAAAAACGCGATTCTTTTGGGATACAAGGCTTTGAATATCTGCCTACTTCAATTTCCAAAGGATGTGCAGAAATTCTCAGTTTTGTTAATTTAGAACGTATAGCTTTATTTATTTAAAGGAAATTGAAAACAACCCCCCACCCCCAACACACACACACTTTTAAAATTATTGTCACGTTTTCCGCTAGATCAGCTGTATAAAACCGAATCAAATACTTCTTGGAAGATATGTGACTTCCAACTATTTCTCCTCTTCTTTTCATTTCGGAAAAGCCTCCTCGAGGTGGGTTTCTCACTTTAGTCTCTATGTAGCTCTTCCTGTAAGAAAATTCGGTCGATTTTCTGTACTGCTGTCAAAATGAATGTTATTTTGGCAATAAAACAGTACATCAGTAAGATGATAGAAGAGAGTGGACCTGGTATGAAGGTTCTACTGATGGACAAAGAAACGGTAAATCTGTGTACATTTTTATTGCGTTCGTTTGCTTAGTTTATAAATAGATAACTTTTGGGTGTAGAGCAGCTGTAACGTTAGAACTTGGACGTCTAAATCTGTATATCAACAATGTTTGTATCAGATGAAGTTATTGTAAATTAGGGGGGTTATAGTAAAACAACTTTCTCAAATATATATTTTTGAATACAAGTTTTGTAGTTTATTTCAGTGACATTTTCATGTTCATAATTTGAAGGCTTTATTTTTTACAGTTTTCATTTTTTTTTTTCATTTTTGCAGACAAGTATTGTGAGCATGGTGTATGCACAGTCAGAAATTTTGCAGAAGGAAGTCTATTTGTTTGAGAGGATAGACTCGTCAGGCCGTGAGACAATGAAACATTTAAAGTGCATAACATTTCTCCGGCCTACGAAAGAAAATGTTGAACTTCTAGCGCAAGAACTTAGAATGCCAAAATATGGACTGTATTACATCTGTAAGTATAATATATAAATATAGCAGTTATCTTTCCATGTTAAGATTGTATGATCAAGTTTTATTGAATGGAGATTAGGATTTTTTCTTGTTATATTTAAGATTTTAGCAATGTGATCAGCAAACAAGATGTCAAAGTTTTAGCAGAAGCAGATGACCAAGAAGTGGTGCGAGAAGTCCAGGTGAATATATTATTTAAAAAATCTTCTTAAAAAGAAATACTATAGTACAAATGTAACATTTTTTTAAGAACCGTCATATACTAAGTTGACGAAGGGGATGCTATTTGGGACTTGAAGTATGCTGTTTCATTTCAGGAATTCTTTGGTGACTACATAGCAGTGAATCCCCACCTGTTTACATTAAACATCCCAGGATGTTGCCAAGTAAGTTTTCGAAATATCTTAGACTAATAGTTTGAGTTCCTACATTTCACTATATATCATAAGTTGTCACTGTAACTGAATATTTGTACAGCCTTGGTAGTTTTTTTATGAATGTAAAATTTATCACACAGGGTAAAGTGTTGCTGAATATTTATTTAATCATTATATTGGTGACTGTAGGCTGCAAACAGATCAACTATAGCTCATGGAATGAGAAGAGTAAATAAATCTTTCTCTAATCAAGAAAAATGCAATCTTTACTTTAAAATTTTTATTTCTCCATTTACAGGCTCTGAATTGGTCTCCTGGATCTTTGTCCAGGACAGTAGAGGGATTAACATCAGTGTTACTGTCACTCAAAAAATGTCCAATGATTCGCTATCAGAACTCCTCAGAAATGGCTAGGAGACTGGCAGAAAATGTCAGGGTAAGGGAGAAAACTTTGTGCCAAATCGTTCTGATCTGAAAGCAAATTAAGGTAAAATTTAGTATTCATGGAGATGTAATGATTTCTTATATTCTTACTGATATCTTTTTTTGAGATGACATAAATGAGCCTTGTATGTCAGTGTCCAGCAGAAAATGGTGACCTTTTCAAATCATTCCCTATTACTGTAAACAGGGAAATTTTCGCCCCCCATTTTATTTTCGCCCCTTTCGCCCTACCCTCATTTGGGCGAATTCAAAGAATACAGTATAATT